TACTCTTGACCACTATCTCCTACCACACATACACTCATCTTCAGTCAAATAAACCTCTTTACTGGTCTTTGAAGAGGCCAAGCAGGCTATGATCTTAGGGCCTTTGCATATGCTGTTCCTCTCTTCCCCTAGCATTTGCATGGCTCCCTCACTGCAGATCTCTGCTCTTCTGTCACCATATCAGAGTGGTTTTTCTCAACCATCCAATGTAAAATAGCAACCCCCACACTCACTCATTTCCTTTTTATCCTGTTTTATTTTTCTTCATAACACATCACTATAAGAGATAAAACACATTTTACTGTCTGTCTCTTCTCACTAGAAGAATGTAAGCTCCTTAAGGGCTTCTATTTACTGCTATAAACGCACTATCTAGAACAGCATCTGCCTCATTGAAGGCACTCAGGGAAAGGCTACCCTACTACCTCACTGTCCCCCAACCTCCATCCCATTCATATTCATCCTTTAAAATCTTGTTCAAGTCATTACTTCTGTGTCTTTCCATAACTCTGCAACTATCCGCCCCATGCCGAATCATTCCCATCTCTGTATTTTGAAAATATTTCTATTGCACTACATATGTTATACCACTAAAATAGATTTAAAAAAAAAAAAAGATACCTATCCACTGCTAGGCTTAAAGCCCCTCTAAGGACTTTAAACTTCTTAAATTTTATATTCTCAGGAGTCAACACAGTAAAGGCCGAAATGAATCATGTTTAACTGAAGAGATTATCAATAGCTACAAGAAAAACACTGGTTACCAACCCCTTCCAAAAAAACTTTTACGAACAAAAATCACCTCAAAGTGGTTACGTATACAACCAGTTTCCAAAGAATCCTAAAAAATTATAAGGAAGTCCTAAGATTCTAAAAACAAATCCAGCACATCTTCTATAGGTTCCATACACTTCACATATATAGTTCAATTTTTACTTAATAATTGTTATTATCAATGCTTTGATTAGATACTGATATAAAGGGCTTTTATAACATTTACCTAAAAGTACCTAACACTTGCAGTTTTCTCTAAGACAAAACTAACTTACCTAATTTCACATCCCAAGTAGGTTTCTTAAATAGTGTTGAAAATATTTCCATATTACAATGACTACAGAAATATTTCCTGTATTAGCTATGTAAGTATTAAGATGTTAGGATACAAAGTTTAATCCTGTATCAGCTTTAAATATCCTAGAAAACCTCAAGACTTTCCTTTACCTTACAGTTCATGTCTCCGAAAAGTTAAACCCTAATAATCAGAGTAACAACAAAAAGACTGCACAGAAGCACATTATTCAAATTACTCCTTCTGAAAGTGCACTGAAAAGAACAGTGGTTAAAAACACCAACATAAGAATATCCAAACACTGACCCACAAAGAATATGATGAGTTTTTCTGGCACTGAAAAGCCACAGTCTGGTAACATTTGTTAAAAAGCACAAGAAACATCTAATGTTGTTCACACATAGGTGTGGGTCTTGAAGACTACCAGCATCAGCCAGGAAAAAAAAAATGCAAGATAAATTCATTGCTGGCAACGTTTAGTAAGTTAACAAAACTGCATCTTATTATTTAAGTCTAAGAGCAACTTTTGGCTATCTCACAGTAGACACTACTTGAAGGTAAATGCTTAAAGTTGGGAAAAACTAATAGTCAGTAATAAACATGTACTATGGAAGCTTTACAAGTTTTCCCAAGTAAAGACATGATCTGTTTTAACAAGCCACCACACCTTGTTAAACACTAGGAATGTGCCAACAATACAAAATACAACTAAGCAGACCTCTGCCTAGAGTGGACCTCTTATTTAAGTAAATTACTTAGCAATCTAAAAGCCAAGTTCAAAAAAGAATCCTCTAGAAGAGAATCCATATCCGCCAGGAAAAACCAATTAACCAAAACTGATCACTTAAAAATAAGTCACTTGCATTCCCCCTCGGTTTTATCATAATACAAAGTTAGAACAGAAAATATAGCTACTTAGGTAATATTTTCATATCTAATAGTCACTGCTCTTAAACTCCAAAATATACCTATAAGAAAGATATCTTTAAATATCCTTGAAAATATACAACTGCTCTAAACGGCTTTTAGTTCAGAAGCATTATACAAAGGTCTTAATTTGTGAGAAACAAACTCCTAACAGGAGAAAATTGCCAAGCAATTCAGAGTTAGATTTAAAAAACAAAACAAAAAACAGGCACCAACTTCATACAACTTAAAAGCTAAAACAAGTGAAGGGTATGATATACAGAATAGTCTAACTGAAATGACACATTTTTCTTACTAATTAGGAAACACTGTTCTACTTATACATTGTAACAATGAAAATACAAACATTTGCATAAAAGCAATGTTTTTAGTTTATGTGTTCCTTTCTTCTCGATTCACTACCTTTCCCTCTCCCGTTTTAATACCCAACCTGCACGTCTCGCTGTTGTATACCTAACCCCCGCCTCCGCCTCCCCCAGCCCCGGATTTGCTACCTCTGTGAATTTCCCTCGATAGGAGAAGTGACAAACTAACATCGGAAAAGCGAAAGTATTTTAAGAACCCCTAAACCTTAAAGGCCCCAAACTATTAAAACTTACTTTCCCACCAATGCGCACTTGTGCCTGCAGTTTGGCGAGTTTCTCTTGATTCATGATAGTTTCTTTCATCTAGAAAGAAAGGAAATCCTCAGCAAAGAAGGGTCTAGCTCACCCTAGCATATCACGCTCGTTATTTCCCAAGGCACCAGCAGGAGAATAAATGTCCCACACAGGCCGAAACCTGGACCCCAAATCCACCCCGCAAAGCTCCAGATTTCGGTTTTGAGGGAGCCCAAAGAACACCCGCCTCTCCCACCACTCCCCCACAGCTCCCCGCTCTTGGCAGCCCGAAACAAGGGCTCTAACCCACACCTGGCCAGCACCCCCCACCCCCGGCCCTGGCCTGGCCTGGGCCTAGCCAGGGCCTTCCCGGCCCGGCCACTCTCCGCAAGCCTCGCGGTACCTGAGGCTCCTGTCCTCGGGTTCCGCCGCGAGGTGGAGGAAGAGACAGCGTCGCCTCGCCCCCAGGGCAGCCGCCCCTGGCTCGACCTCGCCCCCGAGAGTCAGCCTGAGCGGGTGCGCCTGTCCGTCGCATCGCCTTCCTCTCCTCTGCCCTGTCCCTCCCTGTCTCGCTCCTTCCGGGAACTTCCCGCCCCCGCTCCCGTCCTCCTCCCACGCCGGCGTCCAGAGCCTTTTTGTACCTTGTCGGAGCGTAAAAGGGGCCGCGCGGGGGACTAGGGTTGGCGCTCAGAGGGTCTCGGGAAGACCAGCTGAGTTTAGGCGCACACACGCGGGGACGCAAGATGGCAGCTAGAGAGAGGCCGGAAGTGACACAACGCCACTTCCTCCAAAAGTCAGGAAACGGTCTTGGCTGCGAGCTTCCCTCCTCGCTGCGCACGCGCCGCGGCGTCTGTGACAGTACCTCGGGCCCCTCCTCTCCTCAACCGGAGGCGGCCGGCTAGAAGCCCCACGAGAAACTCGTGCCTGGGACGCTGCCGGTAGTCCTGGAAAATGCCAAAGAGGGGTCAGAGAGCGTGGTTCTTTGCACAATTAGGGTCGAGTAAGTCTGCCCATTGTCCATTGGGCCCTGATCCTGAAGTTCTTCACCCTCAGAAGAAAGGGCCTGTTCGCGTTTCCTGGAAAGGCTTGGGGCGCCCAGTTTGTGCTCTCCTGTTAGCTGCTCTCCCCTCGCTGGATGGTGTAGATTGGTGGATTTGGAGAAATGTAGAATTTCCCCTTCGGCCCGAAGAAGCCTTTACCAAAACATTGTGTCAAAAGCAATGCAGCTGATTTTGCTTTCCAAGGTTAGGTGGTTCGGTAGATTGCGGGGCCATGGTTCAGAATTTCTGCGGAGCCTGTTCAGATGCATCTCCTAGCTCCACCCCTAAAATGCAATTTAGTAGGAGTAGGAGGGGGAAGGAGTAATGTGCATTTCAGCAAATTTAGCCGATGGCTTGTCACCTTAGGGGGTCTACGGGATTACCTTGTTTCTTTCTTTGCCAGGCAAAAAGTTGACTCCTTGATAACGAATTGGCATGGATTTGACAATCAGCGATTCAGTTGAACAAACCTTACCTTTCGTAACTGATTCAATCGAGGAAGAAATTGTGCCTCGTGTGTTGGGAAGAGACTATCGTGGGTGTGAGTTAAAATTTGCTAAATGCTAAAAGCTTTGAGGCAGTCTTAAAACCATTGATGTTAAAAATGGCAATTTAAATAAAAATGCTCTCTGATCAGCCTTTTTTGTCGTCTTACCAGTGAAGTTTTTTTTGCATATTCCAAAGTGAGTCCAGAATCTTAGCTGGAGAGAATGCAATTTATATAGCATGAACACTTGTGTAAGTGCAGACTCCTCTCAAATTAAGATCAATTATTTTTTGTTTTCGAATAGTTTTTATGTAAAAGTTTGTTAAGAAAATAACCGGTGAGGACAGCTGTATTGTTTTTTAGGATAGTTGTAACAGTTGTTATTTTTTTAAAAAACAATGTTGCTTTATTAAATATGAGTCAAGTTTAGTACAGAAAAAGTTATGCTGTTCAGCTATATGGGTCACTGTCCTAATGATAAAGGTCAAAATGACTGTGCCAATAGTATTCAGTGCTATAGAAATACTACAAAATATATAGAAATACTCCCCTTTTTGAAAGGAATGTGTATCTTTGTTTAGGAACGTTTTTTTCCCTTTCCTCATGTTATAGCAAGGGCATTTGAAACTTCCTAGTCATGTGATGTTTTCTGAGGCTTTACATAAACAAGATTCTGCATACGTAACCTGCCACCTGACTCTCTTTTCATACACCTGTTTTCAGGAAATGTGGGTTATTTTTTATTTTCTTAGTTCCCACTTTTCTTATTCTTTTATAATTTTAAAGATTTGCACCATGTTGAAAATCATCAAAGATTCTTTAATAGTAAGAAAAGAAAATGTTGATGTTTTTACTCCAGCTGCTTCTGCTTGTTTTGTGAGTGGTCAGGAAATTCTTATTCTGCTAATATTTATATGCCAGTCTTTTCAAAAATAACTGAAGGAATTTTTTTTTAATTCCAAAAAAAGTTACTATATGGTGATCTTCGCTCAGGGATTCCAAAAGAGTAACTCATGTGCTGATGTGGGAGCCATTTCCAATGTGCTCCCAATGTCTATGGGAAATGTGGATAATTGGCTCCAACACTTTACTGCTGAGCTTGAACAAGCCTGAGAATCATTTACTCAGCAGTCAAGATGGCATATGTTAATAGAGAAGATAAAAAAAGGTAAAACCTGTTTGCCCTCATTGCTTTATAGTTTATGGCCTAATCAAAGTCCGTGAGTTGTTTTCATGTCTCAGCTGGACTTGAGTCAGCTTCAGCAAGAGCCAAAATACCCACTTTATATTATGTTTATTTCTTAAGGGCCATTGAGCCCTATTCTAACCCCACAAGAGGTTTTAGGAAATCACTTAGGATGAATGTTCCCATGCTTTTAGTTCTTTCATGATCTGGCCCTTCCTGGTAGTCACAATGGTTTTTTGTTTGTTTGTTTTTTAAGTTTCTAAACCTCCTTGAACTCTTCTTCTAACACCTCCACTTTTGTCAAGTTAGTGCCTATATGTCATTTAGCTCTTAGTTTAAATGTCTCAGGAAACCCCTCTCAACAACTATGGTAGATGTAACCTCATTAAATTATAACCATCATAGTATTTTTAGTTGTATTTTATTAAATGCAAAATGAGAGATTGATAAATTTATTTTGGTAATGGAGAATTAAACTAAGAGCCTAAATAACAATTTCCCATTAGTTTTAATTTTTGTTTTTGTTTTTGTTTTTGTTTTGAGACAACGTCTCTGTCACCCAGGCTAAAGTGCAGTGGTATCATCATAACTCACCACAGCCTCAAACTCCTGGGCTCAAGTGATCCTCCTGCCTCAGCCTCCGAGCAGCTGGGACTACAGGCATGTGCCACCATGCCCAGCTAATTTTTCTATTTTTTTCATAGAGACAGGGTCTCACTCTTACTCAAGCTGGTCCCAAACTCTCGGCCTCAAGCAATCCTCCTGCCTCAGCCTTCCAAAGTGCTAGGATTACAAACATGAGCCACTGCACCCAGCCCCATTGGGTTAATATTGAGTGCTTCCTCTTTGATCATTTGATCCTCACAGAGACCTTATGAGGTAGATATTTCCTGTTTTACTGGTGGAGGAACTGAGGCTTAGAGGGTTAAGGGTATGAAAATAGATATAACCTCATTTTTCTACTACCAAATCTATGTGTACCTGAACCTATAAATATTGCCTTCAATCCTGATACACATGGAGGAATATTCCCTCTAGTCATACTTTGGTTACTGCATCAGGACCTTGATTCTGTTAGTGTCTTCCTTCTGTATCTGTTTTACACGTTCACCTATGTCATTCTACCAGTATACTAATATGCCTTAGTATCAGCCCCTCTAATCCAAAAATCCAAAATCTGAGATGGTCCAATGAGCATTTTCTTTGAGTGTCTAATTGGTATTCAAAAAGTTTTGGACTTTGGAG